ATCCACACTAACAGGCATCTCCTCCCCATGCGCTGCACTCGCAACTGCACCATCTCTGCATGCACACGGGTTTTGTACGCGCCCCCCATGCTCTGTGCGCACAACCACACCATCTGCGCATGTGCATGGCTATTGTGCAGCTCCTCCCCATGCACTGCATGCACAACTGCACCATCTGTGCATGCACATGGCTTCTGCAAGGCCACCCATGCGCCGTGCGCACAGTCGCAACATTTGCCCATGCGTGCAGGGTTTCGCACGGCTCCCCCCGTGCGCTGAGCGTGCCATCGCACCATCTGCACATGAGCACGGTTTTCACACGTGCAATGCATGTGCATGAACGCTTTCTGCGCATATGCACGCTGTACGCAAGTACTCGCACATGTATGTGCAGGAGAGCTCTGAAGACCTGCTGGGTCTCCCGAATTGCACGCATGTGCACCGGAGGCCCAAACACCAGGTGGGGTGCACGTGCACAGCAGCAGGTGAGTTGGGCGACAGCTCGTGTGCCCGGAAAGATGGCTCTGCGTGCCACCTCTGCATGCCATAGGTTCGCCATCACGGGTATAGGGTGTACTCCTTTAGCAAGGGTTGGACTAGAAGACCTCCAAAGTCCCTTTCAACCCTGTTATTCTGTTTCTGCAGGTTTTGCACCCCTTGCTTAAGGAGATGGGATTGGAGAACTAAAGTTACACGAAAAGTGTAAGGTGTAGGACAGAGGTCTTCAAACTTGGCTGCTTTAAGACTTGTGGACTTCAACTCCCAGAATTCTCCAGCACAGCAGAGCTGGCTGGAAAATTCTGGGAGTTGAAGTCCACAAGTCTTAAAGCTGCCAAGTTTGGGGACCCCTGGTGTAGGAGAACCAGATGGCCTTGCATATTCTTCTTGGAGGGTTTTGATCGGAGACCCACCCCTGGTGTTGCAATCTCTCAGTTTCTGCAAACAAACCCAGTTTCCCTGCTGAGAATCCACACCACAATTCTGCCAAATTTAACACGGCCACACCGTGCCCTCTGCAGTGTTCTTTTTCTGCTTCCCAAAGAAAAGGAGACAGCAGGAACGCTCATTCTCATGGTGCTGTTGCGATCAGCATCTGAAGTAGCATTACATCAGATAACATAGCAGACGGTGCAGTCATCAAGCCCGGCATTCATTGTTTATTCTGACTGACAATAGGATTCCCAAGCAAAACTGAGTTTAATCTCATCCCGATCCTTTGAAATGGAGATCCACAAAGCTGAAACTGGAAACAGCTGCCTGCACATATGGGCTCCTTACTACATTATTTATTTATTTTATTTTATTTTATATTTAAATTTATATACCGCCCTTCTCCCGAAGGACTCAGGGCGGTGAACAGCCAAAGGTAAAAAACATAGAATACAAACATTTAAAAGCAATTTAAAATATTTTAAACAATTTGGCCCAACAATTTAAATACCTGAGCCTGAGTGGCGTAGGAGGCTAATGCTCCTACTAAGGCAGCATTTAACATCCAGCTGCCTGCAATTACTGCGAGTTCAATTCTCACCAGGCTCAAGGTTGACTCAGCCTTCCATCCTTTCTAAGGTCGGTAAATTGAGGACCCAGATTGTGGGGGCAATAAGATGACTTTGTATAAATATACAAAAGTATGAAGGCTATTGCTTAACGCATTGTAAGCCGCCCTGAGTCTCCGGAGAAGGGCGGCATATAAATCAAATAAAAAAAAAACAAAAAAATACCCCATTTAAAATTCAAATTCAAATTAAACAATTAAAGAAGTTAGGCTAGCCCGGCTTGTTGCAATAAAAAAGTCTTGAGGGCCTAGCGGAAGATACGTAAATCCAGAATCGTCTGTATCTCCGGGGGGAGCTCGTTCCAGAGGGCAGGTGCTCCCACAGAGAAAGCTCTCCCCCTGGGGACCACCAGTTGACATTGTTTGACCGACGGCACCCCGAGGAGCCCCTCTCTGTGGGAGCGTACTGGCCGGTGGGAGGCTCTCGGTGGCAGAAGGCGGTCTCGTAGATATCCAGGTCCTAAGCCATGGAGCGCTCTAAAGGTGGTAACCAACACCTTGAATCGCACCTGGAGGACCACCAGAAGCCAGTGCAGCTCGCGCAGGAGAGGTGTTACATGGGAGCGCCATGACACTCCCATAATCACCCGCGCGGCTGCATTCTGGACCAGTTGGAGCCTCCGGGTGCTCTTATGGTTCTATCCTGAATAGAATTCCAGAATTAGAGAGTTGGAAGGGAATTTGGAGTTCTTCTCGTCCAACTCACCGCTCAAGGCAGGAGACCTTACACCAGGGGTGTCAAATTGGATTTCTTTGAGGGCGGGATCAGCATTGTAGATCTCCTACTACCCCTTTGACTCCTTGGTTTGAAAATCAGCTGCTATTTTTGGGTCCATAGAAAAATAGACTTGGAAGGGAACTTGGAGGTCTTCTAGTCCAACCCCCTGTTTAGGCACGAAACCCTACACCACTTCAGACAAATGGTTATCCAACCTCTTCTTAAAAACTTCCAGTGTTGGAGCATTCATAACTTCTGGTGGCAAGTTGTTCCACTGATTAATTGTTTTAACTGTCAGGAAATTTCTCCTTAGTTCTAGGTTGCTTCTCTCCTTGATTAGTTTCCACACATTGCTTCTTGTCCTGCCTTTTGTTGCTTTGGAGAATAGCTTGACTCCCTCTTCTTTGTGGCAAACCCTGAGATATTGGAACACTGCTATCATGTCTCCCCTAGTCCTTCTTTTCACTAAACAAGACATACCCAGTGCCTGCAACCGTTCTTTGTATGTTTTAGCCTCCAGTCCCCTCATCATTTTTGTGGCTCTTCTCTGCACTCTTTCTAGAGTCTCAACATCTTTTCTACATCATGGCGACCAAAACTGAATGCAGTATTCCAAGTGTGGCCTTACCAAGACATTATAAAATGGTATTAACTTTCCACGTGATCTTGATTCTATCCCTCTGTTTATGCAGTGTACAATTGCACTAACTTTTTTGGCTGCACTGCAATAAAAATCAGGTATAGTCATTTGATGACCCCCTAATGACTGGCATGACCTACAGCTGTAACTCCAGGCTCAATTGCAGTTGTAAATCGAGGACTACTTCTACTCACCTGAGCCCCTAGTAAACAGTTTTCATGCTCATTCCTATCAGGCCTCTCTCAACTTGGTTATTCAGGAAGAATTTCTTTTCAGAGCTTTATAACTTTAAACTGTCTCTAAATGAATGGCTGTAAGTTGAGGTCTCCAGGAATTGGTTATGTCTAGTCTAGTAAAAAGTGTGACATGATAGCCATGTTCTAATATTTGAGGGGCTTCCACAAAGGAGAATAAGAATAAGAATAAGAATAATTTTATTTCTATACCGCCCTTCTCCCGAAGGACTCAGGGCGGTGTACGGCCTATTAAAAGCACAAGACAAACATCAATTAAAATAATTTAAAATTATTAAATAATTCGGCTCAATTTAAAACCCCAGAAATTTAAAACACCCAATTTAAAATTATTATGTTGATAGCCCGGCCTGGCGGAACTACAGGGTCTTCAGTGCACAGCGAAATACCCGGAGGTCGGAGATCTTACGCATTTCCAGGGGCAGTTCATTCCACAGGGCTGGGGCTCCCACAGAGAAGGCCCTCCCCCTGGGTGTCGCCAGCCAGCATAACTTGGCCGATAGCACCCTGAAGGGGTGGGGGGGCTCAACCTATTCTCCAAAGCCCCAGAAGGCAAGCCAAGAAGCTATGGATGGAAACTAATCAAGGAGAGAAGCAACTTGAAATTAAGGACAAATTTCCCTTTCAATTATTAGATCAATTAATCAGTGGAACGACTTGCCTCCAGAAGTTGTGGATGCTCCAACACTGGAGGTTTCTAAGAAGAGACCAGACAATCACTTGTTCTGAAATGGTATAAGGTTTCCTGCTTGAGCAGGGGGTTGGACTAGAAGACCTCCAAGGTCCCTTCCAACTCTGTTATTCTGTTATACTCTCCATCTAATTGGCTCTTCAGCTCTCTGTCTATCTGTCTGTCTATGTGTCTGTCTGTCTGTCTCATCACTGGAGGTTGACAAGAACAGATTGAATGTACTACCAAGGCTCAGATTGAGCCTTGGTAGTACAGTGGTCTAAAGCACCCTGTTATTAAGACCAGCTGCCTGCAATTACTGCAGGTTCGAATCTCGCCAGGCTCAAGGTTGACTCAGCCTTCCATCCTTTCTAAGGTAGGTAAATTGAGGACCCAGTTTGTGGGGGCAATAAGCTGACTTTGTATAAATATACAAAAGGATGAAGGCTATTGCTTAGTGCATTGTAAGCCGCCCTGAGTCTCCGGAGAAGGGCGGCATATAAATCAAATTTAAAAAAAGAAAAAAAGAATGACCACTTATTTATTTTATTTATTTATTTTATTTATGTAATTTATAGGCCGCCCTTCTCCCGAAGGACTCAGGGCAGCTTACAAGAAGGAACAAAAAAAAAAAAAAAATTACATAAACAACAAAGCCAATTTAAAATTAGTTAAAATTAATTAAAAATGTAATTAAAATGATTAAAAATCATCCCTACGGATTCAGCCCATTTGGTGAAAAAGCCACGTCTTCAATTTGCGGTGGAAGGAGAGGAGGTCCGGGGCTGTCCTGAGGCCGGTGGGAGGCCCATTCCAGAGGGTCGGCGCTCCCACAGAGAAGGCTCTCCCCCTGGGGGCCGCCCGCCGACATTGTCTGGCTGACGGCACCCTGAGGAGGCCCGCTCTGTGTGAGCGCACTGGACGATGGAAGGATGGCAGGAGATGATCCTGCAGATACCCCGGGCCTAAGCCATGTAGGGCTTTATACTTGTCCTGAATGGTATGGCGTCTCCTGCTAGAGCAGGGGGTTGGGCTAGAAGGCCTCTGAGGTCCCTTCCAACTCCGTTATTCTGTTACTCTGAGTACCAAAGAGAGAGCAGAACCTCGTAAATTCCCTACGCGTCGTAACTCTAATCTTTTTTCTGACGTTCCCAATGCAGGCAAACTTTTCCACATTGATTTTGGCTATATTCTGGGACGTGACCCGAAGCCTCTTCCTCCACCCATGAAGCTGAATAAGGAAATGGTGGAAGGAATGGGAGGGACGCAGAGTGAACAGTACCAGGAGTTTCGCAAGCAATGCTACACAGCGTTCCTTCATCTGCGCAGGTTAGAATTTTGTGGTTAGATAACCCGTAACCCAGTCGATCATTCTTTCAGAGATATTTCCTTGCTGGTTTTCTCAACTCCCTTCAGCAATGATAGACGTTTAATTGACCTCCTGGACTGGAAAATCTGGGGTCAATTCCACTGGTAAAATCTGAACCGGTTTGCTACCGGTTCGCTGGCCGCGCATGCGCACTGTGTGCCAAACATTGCTGTGTGCATATGCGCAGTGTGTACCAAAAGGAGGCTTGGGAAGGTAAGTAGAACTGCGAAGGGGAGGGGATCAACTATGGCGCGTGATTTAGCTTTGCTAGAAAGCAGGATTTCCTACCCCACTGCACAGCTGATCATCAGAAATGCCGGTTCAGAGGAACCGATAGCTTTTTTTAACTACCGGTTTGCCCGAACCAGTAGCTTTTTAAACTGCTGGTTCAACCGAACCGGTAGCTTTTTTTTTTTTTTTTTTACTACCAGTTTGCCCGAACTGGAGCGAACCGGTAGTATTTCACCCCTGGTCCATTCAGAGATGATGTTCGTCCATCCTTTTCGAAGAGGACCTTGACATTTAACTGGTTGTGGGCTGCCGCGGTGTGTGTGCAGGTGGCTGGTAAGTCCTATGCGCATTGGTGGGCTGCAACCAGTTTAACAACCAGTTCGGTGATCGTGCGCTTTGCACGCGCACGCACCTAACACACTTGCACGCAGCGTTCAAATTACAGCAATTTGAAGCTCAGCTGCTTACCTTCTACGGCAGCCCCGGTGTTGTGGTCCGCCAGCAGCCTGCAGAGCTGGCAGTGGAGTCGGACAATGAGGAGGCTGGGGAGGAAAATGGGCCAGTCCTGGAGTCAGGGGAAGGCCTAGACAAGGGCTCTGCGTCAGAGGCAGAGATGGGGCCAGGGCCATCTGGGAGTGATGCGCGAACTCCAGAGCCTCCAGAGGCGGATACCAGAGAGGCAGAGGGACAGGAGGAGCCTGTTCCTAGTGCACACATGCGAAGAGCTGCCAGAAGGCAAGAGCAGCTGAAGAAAAAAATGACAAGTCGGGAGTAAGGCCAGGAGATGATTGGCCCCTCCCAGAAGGCTTAAAAGAGCAGCAATGGCTCTTGGGATCTTTGTAGGAAAGCAACGTTGCTACATTTGTTTCTTGTCGGTGTCTCTTACTTCTGAACTTTGTGGGGTTTTGCCAAGAAAAGCCTTTGGCAGGGTGCCAAAGTAGACAAAGGTTGGTGATAAGGCCGAAGGACTGTTTACGAAGAATTTGTTTTGGACTTAATTTGGACTAAGATGAGAATGAAGTAATTCTCAGCTGTTCTAATAAAATATGTTTGTTTAGGACTGATTGTGTCTGGTAATAACTACATGGGCCTAGGTCACAACACCTGGTAAGTAGAACAGCGGAGATGCGGAAATCAGCTGTACCACTCAAATCAGCTGAGCCAAAAAAAAAGAAGGAAATATAGGACAGGATAGAGCGGGGATGGGTGGGCGGGGCCATCTGATAATCAGAACTACCGGTTTGCCCAAACCGGTCTGAACCGGCAGCAGCCCACCTCTGCCAATGCGGACACGGAATGTTCTGCCACATGTCAGACGTGTAGGCACTATTGTTGCAGCATTTGCAGCTCTGGCTTTGCGGAGTGCTCCCTTCTCTTCTGTGCTATGGTTGTCCTTCTGTTAGGATGGGGTAGAGGGTTGTCCCCGAACCGTGAACCAGCTCACGAGCAAACACACTAGGACTGAAATAAAACTAGCAGAGGAGTCTTGTATAAAAATATACTTTACTTCAAAATGTTTAAAAAACACTATATCTTTAAAAAGGCACATTAATAACAAAGTCTTATCTTGGTTAAATGAAGCCAGGCCATCTCCCTAAATTCCTCTCCACAATACCAAAACAGTCCACAAGAAAAAACTAACATAACATTAAGCAGCTTCGGTGTCGATACATCATCGAGGTGGTAGAAGGGCAGCAGCGTAGGCTTCACAGCTAAAAGTCACCTGTGAAAAACAATTCAACCAGCAAACGTGGCTTGAAGCTCCTGGGAGGGAAACTGTCCAGCAGCAACAGTTCAGATGTTGGCTTGCATGCTTCAACTCAGCAAAAGGCAAGCCGAAATTGGAGACTTCAAAAGGCTTCCAGCTATCTCAACTCACAGTTGCAGCTGGCTCCGTGGGAGTATCTTTACACAGCTCTTCGGCTCCTCTTCTGCTGCTATCTCTGCTGCAGCCATCAGGACTCCTTATCTGAGTTCTCCTCCCTTCTGCAGCTCTGCTCTGGGCTCTGCATCCAGGTGCTTCAGCACTGGCTCTGCATCTAGACCTAAACAGCGTCTAGGCCCAAATAGCAAGCAGAAAAGTCCGTGCTTATATGGGGAGTTAACCTGCAATTAAGTAGGGCAGGGAAGGCTTGCAGTTAATTGCAAACAGGAGATGGCTTGATTGGATCCATACTGTTTGTGACTGATCAAGTAGCCACAGCAATCCTGAAAACACTCGTGACACCTTCTGTCTTCAAATGTCTGGCAGCCTTGGTGGATCAAGGTGCGCCATGTCGATCGATCTCGTGCCAGGGTTTCCCAGGAGGTGGTGTGGATATCCAGGGACTTGAAGGAGGCTTTTAGCGTGTCTTTGTATCGCTTCCTTTGTCCGCCGTGGGGTCGCTTTCCTTGAGACAGCTCACCATAAAGGAGGGTCTGTTTGGGGATGCGGTGGTCTGACATCCTTGCAACGTGGCAGTCTTCCAAAAAGGGGTTCCTACAAAGACGAAGGGGGTCAACCTATTCTCCAAAGCACCAGAAGGCAAGACAAGAAACTATGGATGGAAAAACGTCCATGGAGATTCTCCATCATCTGGGTCATGTTGTCCCAAAGGTGCTTTTTCAAGAGGCAAAAAAAAAAAAAAAAAAAAATGTTGATTACACTGGGATTAACGGGAAAAAAAATAAAGATGATTACACTGGGATTAACAGCGGCATAAAGATGATTACACTGGGATTTACAGTGGAATGATAAAAGGTTGAATTAGATTATGTAAAAAGAAAATATATCAACGGATATAATGTATCAATTTTTATTAAGATGTTGGACGGTATCATTTGAGAAAATGGATAGCTGTAATAATTGGGATATTGTTTAAATATGTGTAACAATAGTAATAATTTGAACATTTTTCACTTAAGCAAAAAAGAAAGGAAAATTGAAATAATATATGATTATGATTTACAAACAAAAATGACTTAATTGGTATTTATATAAATGGTATGGTTAAATAGATAGAATTTAAGGAAATAATTTGGGAAAGTGTATTAAATAGCATTATTTGAATTAAGAACTATGTTTAAATGTTAAATTGCTATATTTTTAAGATTAGTGATAAGGTTTAAATTTGATAAAGTAATAATGGAATAAAGATTTAATGAGCATTATATGAAGTAATAAATAAATGTAAGGAAGTTTTAGAAATGGAAATAATTTTGGAATATAAACATGTTTGAACTGTACTGTTAATAGTGAGGATTTAGGGTAAGAATTGTGAAATGTATGATGAGGTATTAATTGAATTAAGATTTAAGGTGGGTTAATAGAAGGGTAATTATATTGATTAAGTAAACATGAGTAAACTTTTTCTAAAATGGTATTAGTTGAAATATGTGATTTAAGATTAAGAAATAAGTGTTATGGCAAAATAGAATATATAAAATTTTGTTAAAGATGACAAAAAATTGAACAAATTGATGACCGGATCAAAGCTGTGTTCCGAAAAGATGTAATTTGTATGTTTGGGGGGGGGGGGACTTTTTGCAAGAGACAGATGGACTTTCTGTTTTTTTTTTTTTCCTTTGAAGATGTTTTGCTTCTCATTCTAGAAGCTTCATCAAAGCTAATGAAGCTTCTTGGATAAGAAGCAGGGGTGAAATGCTCCTGGTTCGGTCCAGTTCGCCTGAACCGGTAGTAAAAAAGGCTACTGGTTCGCCGAACTGGTAGTAAAAAATGTAAAAAAAAAAAAGTTTTGACAATCAGCTGAGCGACTCGCGATCATTAGAACTTTTTTTTTTTTTTTTACTTTCTAGGCATTTTTTTACTACCAGTTCTCCAGCTATGATCGTCAGAGCCTTTTTTTTAACCTTTTAAAAGCATTTTTTACAACCTATTCGCCCGAATAGGTTGTAAAAAAATGCTTTAAAAAGTTTTTTTAAAAAAAAACATTGGCGACACCCACCCAGTCACATTACCCCCACCACCAAGCCATGCCCACCCAACCGGTTGTAACAAATTTTACATTTCACCACTGATAAGCAGCAGAACATCTTCAAAGAAAAAAATCCCAGAGAGTCCAGCTGCCTCTTGAAAAAGCACCTTTGGAAAAATGGATGGAAACTGATCAAGGAAAGAACCAAGTTAGAACGAAGGAGAAATTTCCTAACGCTGAGAAAATTTCACCAGTGGAACAGCTTGCCTTCACAAGTTGTGGGCGCAGCTATTTGTCCAGAATGATCTCCTGCTTAAGGGCAAGTTGGACTAGAAGACTCCAAGGTCTTGTTCTGTCCCCGTACCCCACACGCACCCCCACAGACGGCCCGGAGTTAATAAGCCACACGACAAAACTCTTTGATGATAAAGCTGGCAGCAACCCAGTGGCTAGCTGCCAATTCAGACTTTACTCACACAAAACAAAGATTAGACTGCCAGCATTCCGATAAAACAGGCAGAGTTTTCAACAATACCAGGATTAATCCAAATACAGTCCGATAAAGCAGGCAAAGTCCAGTAACGCAGAGATCATGGAGTATTTCCAGTTTTTGCTCGTCACAAACTGAACCGGCCACCACACCCACATTTATACCCTGTGGGGTGTGGTCCAGTGACTCAGCTAATCTCTGGCACGCCTTCCTCTCTGCTGCGCACGCTTCTCCCTGCGCCTCTGGCGAGGGTCCAGCCAGTACTTATCTCCTTCGTCACTGTCCACCTGTGCCTGCGGGGATGTGCTTGGCTCTGAGCCTGTCA